TGGTGTCAGTGTGAAGGTGAGAACTCAAGTCTCCTGACTCCCAGTCCAGTGTTTTTTCCACTAACAGACTCCCAGAGTCCTTCTAAAGCAGGGGTGAATTAAAGGCATTTAGGTCTCTGTTGTAGAGAGAAAGGAGGTGGCTGGTAGTAGTCCATGCTTATGTCCTTAATTAAACCTCATTTGCTCCAGAACAACTGTGTGCTTTATGCAGATCATAGATTAAAATACTCAGCTCTTAACAAAATTAATCACTTGTTGATCTGATAAGTGAAGTTGCATGTTGGCAGCACCACTTCCGAAATGGGTATTACATGTATGCAAAATGTTTAGGAAGACCAATCACCTCTGATAACACTTTTCCAGATTGGCAGATTTGGAAAATAGTACCCCCTGATAGCATCTGTAAGCATGATAATTCAAGGACCCTTAGCTTGGTGTGTGCTGCTTTCTGTGAGTTTGAAGTTACTGTAAGAAGCAGAAATACTATGATCTTTACCACCTCTCACATCCTGTGACCCTTGTCTGCCCACACATTTGGAGTAGCTGAATAAATCCAAGCAAAGAGGATTAGTACTTTGAAAGCATGTATATAGCTATAGTACACACACACGTAGGAAATCAAGTGGATGTATTTTAACATAGCCATGTGGAACTTCCCTAGGACCAAAGAGCCAGCCATTCAGGGCCATTTACTGCTTATGAAATACACACTTGAAGAGCCGGGGTGGGGCAGGAATGGCAAATTCAAGTGCCTGTAGACTGATGATACATTCAAAATATTTAGCTTGAACACTTACCAGTTGGGAGTATTGCCAGCTATAAACAACTGGTAAGCCTAATTTGTGACATTCAGCTCTGCCCACAGGGACCCTGACTGCAAGGTTAATGAGTAAGTGTAGTGAGATAAGATAATGAGGAGAATTGAAAACCTTGGGAACTGGAAAGCACCAGTCCCTTCTAACGGGAAGGGGTCAGCTGTATTCCAGCCAGTTATGTGGGAATGAAGGCATTATTTTGTTGGCCTTCTCATGTTTTCCAAGTTGATATTTCCTGATTTTTAAAACACTATGGAGACCTGCTCAGCAGCCAGTTTTCAGCCCCTGGTTTAAGGGAATATAAGTGTCACATCAATTCTGGTAGGCATTGAGCAGATTAAGTAGACTAATGGTTTCCTTAGAAGGTGCTTGTGAAATACTTCCAGAATTTATATAAAAAGTTGCCTTGCTAGAGCCCGTCTGGGCAGTGCCTCTGATCAACTTCTGTTTTGCTTTTAGTCTCTGGGAAAAATACCGAGCCATTGAGAAACCTTCTGTAGTTTGCTCTCATCAGTTAAGACAAATGAATCTCAAATTTCGGTGTGGATCAATGTCCCTGTAGAACTTGCTAAAAAGCAGGTTCCTGGGCCTTAATCTGAGAGTTTCTGATTCAGGGGTGCAGCCTGAGGATCTGTATTCTAACAACTTTCCAGATGGTATAGGGATGGTCCAGGGATTGTACTTGGAGAACCACTGGCTTAGTTTGTACTATCGTAAAGAGGGTAATATTGTACTTAGCTGCAGAGCTTTATAATCTGCTAGTGTACTATATTTATAATGTTAAATAATACCATTGTTTATTCTTGCTGTAACATTTTCCCCCAATCCCAGTAAACTCAATTTAAAAAGTACATTTTGATGTAGAGTGCCAAAATTCAACTCTATTTAGATTTGTGAGGCATGACTTTCTCTTCTAAGAATTTTACTGCCTTTTCCAAGGTTTTGTAGAGAGAAAGGGCAGATAAAACTGGTTCTTATGTGGACTAATAAGCCTAATGGTTTTAAGTCTCTGTAGTAGTATTTTTTTTTCAATATGGCCTTTCATAAGTCTGTGTACCTCTTTAGAGATGGACACAGAGATGGATATTACCCCATCCGTCTGTCTGCCTGTCCATCTATCCATCCAGTTCTTTATCCAACTCTGTAATTGATTTAATTTTAGTTATATCTTTGATAAATAGTTTAGGAGCTGTATTTAATTATTTAATATTCTTTTAATTAATGACTTAATTAAGTTTTAAAACCTGAAAATGATTTTTTTTCAACAGGAATATATGGCATGGAAAAACTATAAGGAAGTAGCTATATTTCAGATTTTTTTTCTTAGAAAATATATGAAGCAAAAGATATATTAAGAAGGGTACTGAATTTTACTTTTCTCATATTTGTTCACAGTGTTCTTTAGATTCCAGTTTGAGAATTATGATTTGCCTCTTGAAGATACCCTCCACCAGTGCCACAAGGGTATGTATGTTTCAGAAAAACAACCAGTTGGTTGTTCAGTTATTTTTTAACCTAGAAAGACAGGCATGTAGCAATACTAAAGAAATAGTTACTAAATACTGAATGCTTCACTTTCAAACTCCTTGAAAGTGTCTAGTATGAAGAGCTCTAATATGTCACAATATCAATTTTTAAAATTGGTTCTTTTAATTCTGAACCATGTCCACCAGTCCATCCTCCATATTGCAAACGAAGTGATCCTTCTAAACACAGATCTCATTGCGATGGCTCCTTGCTTTAAAATCTTTGATAACTTCTCATTTCCTTTAGGATAATGTCCAAATTGCTTAATGTGGCATACAAAAAGGTACTTCCTTAATTTGCCAGCCTACTTTTCCAATTTAGTCTTTGGGATTTGTCCCATCCCCCATGCCTCCTGAGTGCTGTCACAGTCATTGTATCATCCTCAAAACAACAACCACTGTTGGTTGAGCACTTACCATATGGCAGGCATTATGCTAACTGCTTTACATTTATAATCTTATTTAATTTCATACTTCCTTGCCTTTGCTTAGGCCATTTCCTTTGCCTGAAATGCTTTATACCCTTGTCAATGAGGTGAACTCCTCATTCTTCAAGATGAGAATTTGATTTGCATAGAACTAAAAAAATACCTGGCTATATTTCTGGGCTGCCTCATAGCAATGGTGCAATAGCTTGTCATGCAATGGCTTGTAACCGCCAGGAAGGAACGTCCCCTGTGACTTCTTACCTTTACTGTGCTTTTATGGACACAGTTTATGCTGAAAAGTTACAGGAAGATCATTTGGTCTCATCTGCTTATTTACAATAAGGGAACAGGCTCAGACAGATAAGGATCTTGACCAGAGTCACATAGCTGGTTAGTAGATTTGAGACAAGAAAGGTCCTTGATTTCAAGTTCCTTGATTTTTCTCTTGTACCACATCCCCACAGCACCGTGATGCTTTGCTAGATAAAAGAGCAAGTTTTTGTATAGGTTTGAATTCAGGTTTCTCTTTTTGGCCAATGAAGATGCATTCGATACCCAGTGGAAACATGTTCCTGTCCCCATTCATCTGTCATCAGTGTTTCAAGACAACATTTATACAGTGCAAAGAGTACTGAGTCAACAGTACTATTTCAAAGAGTTTAAGATTTTTCAACTAGAAAGCAGTACATGGGTTTCTGTGGGAAATACAAACAAATAAGAGACATAATTCCTATCTCCAAGGGCAACTGACACACAACAAATTTGTTTTTGTATTAATAAGGAAAAAGGACCTCAGAAATGTTCATATCTTTTGATTTAGTCATTCCTCTTCTGGGAATCTATGCCAAGGAAGAAAATAAAGATTCAAATTCCATGCAAAAACATTTATTGGGACTTTTTATAATAAAATGTGACTTCTGTGGCCATTAAAATGGATGATTATGAAGAATTAAATAGCATCGGAAATTTCTTATGTGATTATGTTAACAAAATGAAATTAACAAAATGTACGATTGTGTTATGTGTAAGATTTCAACTGAGTAAATTGGTGTGCAATGAAGAAGGGAAATACAGGTGACCCTTGAACAAGGTGGGGGCAGCTAGGAGTGCTGGCCTGCCATGCAGTTGAAAATCTGCACCTAACTTTCAGCCCCTCCAGAACTTAATTACTAATACTCTGTTGACCAGAAGCCTTAATGATAATACAGTTGATTAGTGCATATTTTGTGTATGTGTTATATACTGTATTCTTACAATAAAGTAAGCTAGAGAAAAGGAAATGTCTTTTCAAATTGTCACAAATCTCCAAAAAACTTTCCAATATCTTTATTGAAAACATGAAGCATGTAAGTGGACCTGCATAGTTCAAACCTGTGTTGCTCAAGGCTCAATTACATCAGAATGTTATCACTAGTTAGTGGGATTATGGATGACTTTTATCTGTGCTTTCCTAGAGATCCTGCATTTGGAATTGAGCATGTAGTTATAGTCCAGATGGGACTGTAGAGACTGAGAAGTAGTGGAAATCATGGCATGGAAGTTTTTTGGAGCCCAGTTAAAATCCTGCCTTCCCTACAGAGCCATCCTACCCCTGGAAATTGCCCTGGCATTTGGGTTTGAATTTCACATGGCCTTAGGCAAGTTGCTTGCCTACTAAGCTGCCTCAGCAGAAGAGACACTGAAGTGTCAGAGAGTTATGGTGTGGATCACAGCTAACAGTGGTGGAGGGCTGACTGTTGCCAAGTGCTTTACATACATTACTTCCTTTAATTCTTACAACACCGCTAATGAAGTGGGCATCATTAGCGTCCTCATTTTACAGAGGAGAAAATTAAGTCCAGAGAGGTTAAATCACTTATTCATGATCACAGAGAGCTAGAGTTTGAAAACACTTATGTGAGTTTCCAGAACTTGTGTCATTAGCTGTTATATTGTCTCCCTAGGATTGTTATAAGAAATTTGAATGAGGTAAATTATAGACACTTTTATACAGTGTCTAACTCTGCCTGATACTTTGTAGGTGCTCAGGAGATGTTTGTAAATGACTTAAGAAAGCAAACAGCTCTAAAACTGACCTGCTATGGGTGGGGTTCCCATGGGGAAACCAAAACTGGCAATGTCTCCCCGATAAACATTGGCAGGAAGCTGGGTCATGATGAATTTTATCTAAGCTGATAGTGCTTTGGTACTTCATGCAAGAGTAGTTTGTGCCACTAAACTGAGAGGACAGGTTTCCAGGGGAGCTGGATCCAGTGAACCCATAGGTGTTAGAGATTCTGAGAAATAAAGTGGAAGATGCTAATAAAAACCTCACAGAGTCTTGATTGCTGGGGTTGGACATGAGGAGAGGATTGGAGTTATGCAGGTTTATAAATGATGCCTCCTGGAAAAATGGATTCGTTTTTTAGCACTAAGGTGATTCAATCACGCTCTTTGAGCCATTGATTGAAGGGGCAGTTCTGTTCTTTTTAGAGTTGGTACAGTAGTTAGCTGGTCACAGATTTTAAATAAAAATGATCCCATTAATCAAAGTATCATTACACCTTAATATTTTTGTAATGAAAGAATCAGCAATTTATTTTTTTTGGCCCTAATCTCATTGCAGAGTTTGTTGGAGCCATTTTCAAAACTGCTCAGCTTTGTCATTCAGAATGCTGCCTTCACTTTGGCCTGCCTGGTGGAGGTGTGTGGGCTATGTTACCGAGCTTTCACTAAGGTAAGGTTGCATGTGGAAAACTGGCAGAAACATCTTCTTTCTAATCAGTGTCAAATCCCTGTTAGGCTAATTGCTTCAGTATAGTTAAAAATAGTAATTCTGCTAAGGTCTAACAAATATCATTGGAAAGAAACACTTTACACACACACACACACATAAAAAGTATATCTTAAATATGCATATTTGGAGAACTGAGGGTCATATGGTTTAGAAGAAAAGAGGTATTTTGAATGAAATGAGATAATGGTTTAAATGACCTCTTGAAGTCCTTTTCAAGTTCACCATCCCATGATTAGCAGGCAAGCCATCATTACATATCATTTTTATACCCAAAGTAGAAAAATATCAGCTTGTCATTTGTAAAAGCCAGTGGAGAGCTCTTTAATTCTCATCATTTGTCTGTCTTCCCAGTTCTGGGTTCTTGGCCTCTGAGATTATAATCTCATCTATTGTCATCTTGCCTTAATAATGGTTTCTCTATTACACTATCCTTAGTATCCCCTGCCCCACCACTGAGGAAATGGAAAAGTACTGTTTTCCCAGTACATAAAGCAGCCTTGTTGGTGCTGGTAGACACTGTCCTAAAGGAAAAGCAGAAAGCAGTGCAAATTGGGAGCATTTCTGTCCTTAAAAACAGTACGCAAATGACACTCTTCCAATTTCCACATTTTCCAAGTTTGTTTTCAGTGGGATCTCTGTTTGTGTTGTTCTGTCTAAAACATTCAGAATGCTCCTTTATTCATGTTGTCCATTTCTATAAACCCTTTATTTCCCTCATAAGAATCTGACTTTAAATTAAGGCTTTCATTCTATTTAAAACACTTTTGTTTCCTTTCTTACTATCTAGTGTCCATTCTGCCATTTAAGTATTCCATGATAATCTTCTTTAGTCCTTCTGATTATAAACTATTTATTACTCTGCCTAGAATAGTATGTTTCTAACTACCAAAATAGTCAACATCTTTTTCTTCTTTCAAAACCTTCCTGAAAAAATAATTTCTTCCTTTTTTTCCCACATAAAATAATAGATCTCTAAGACATAGCACCAAATATGATGAAAAGAGACTACTTTTAGAAGTCAATTTGTTTATTTAGTTTTTATTTGATTTGCTTGAATTATAAATTTGTTTAAGAGGATAAACCATCAAGAGATTGTACTTTCTGTGTTATATGCTACACATATTGATTATAGGGGCCTTCCACTATTTCAAATTCAAGATATTCTGTATTTTGAATATTCACTGTACATTTTATCCCTTCATAATCTAGTGGTCTTCAGTGGCCTCCCACTTCCTGTTGTCATGTACCCTTCCTCATTTCTGCAACTCAAAATGACTATTACTTGTAGAAAGCTTCAATTTGGGTGTACCACCTTCTTCATAGATAATTAGAAACTATAAGAAATAGTTAAAGAAATAGCAGTATCTAATTGAGCTTTCTTCCTTATTTAACCAAAAGAAAAGGCATGGAAAGGTAAGGGCCTTGGAGACTTTTCTGTTTGGGAATATGGCAAAATTGAAGTGCTGGATGAAATGTAATAAACATGACTTTAAATGTGTAGCCAATTTTATAAGAATGAAAGGGGCAAAAATGAAGAGGGAATAAAGAACCAATATGGTAAGCACATAAGCTGATATTGTAGCAACCTTGGGGTAGGGAGTTGTCTTGGTAACTTAGTGGCTTGGGCTTTAAAGCACCACACAGAGAAAGGAGATGAGGCCTTGGGCTATTCAGAGTGGGAGCTAGAGTTGAGATGTCCCCAGCAGAAACTCAGAATGCTTGAAAGATTATACATTCCATAAAAGGGTGATTTGGGAAGAATATATTCTTATACACAGGTGACAAAGAATGGGATCTGTCTGAGCCTGGGAACTGAGAGAAATATTTATAGTCTCCTTTGAGAATTAGTGAACATTAGCCTATCTTTGAACATGTTTAGATTTTGGTTCATAATATCTGCATGCTTTGTGCACCCCCAAACTGAATAGTGAAGTAACATTGGTGCTAAGCAAGTAATAGCATTGGTGTATCTGGCAGAAGCAAGTTCAAAATCAATCTGGAGAGATATGCCTTCAACCTATACCCAACAGGATTCCCATAATTAAAATCCTGATGCACATGAACTCACAAATTAAAATTACAAAACATATGAATAAATAATCTACCATGAGCTAGATTAGCAAGTCAACAGTAAGATTATTTCCCATAAGGAAGTCGAGTATTAAAACTACATCATAGAGACCATAAAAACATACTTTAAATGATAAGCATGTGAAGGGTGAATTAAAAACAAGAAGAGATCTAGTCCTTTCAAAATCAGATAGATTTGAACCAAGTAGAAATCTGAGGATTGAAAGTCACTGACATAACAGCAAATTAGACATAGCCAAAGGGGGAATTGTTGAAACGGAAAATAGATTTGAAGAAAAATACAGCATGCATCAAAGAGAGAAAGAGGTGAAGAATTTAAAGAGGTCTAACATGTACCAAGTATGTGTTTCAGAGATGGGGACATAGTCTTCTTATCAATTCTACAATGGATAAAAATTATTAATGTTCTGATTCAGGAATCACAATGAGGCCTCCAAGTATTATAAATAAACTAAAATTTTACCTGCTCAAGTCATAGTCTACATGAGTAGGTACAACTTGGCATAATAGCCAAGACAACTAAAATATCTTAAGAACAACCAAGAGAAAAGACACTGGAGAGAGAAATTGGCAACAAACTTCTAAACAGTACGGTGGAAGCCAGAAGATAATGGGAAGAGTGTCTTTAAAATTATGAGAAAAAATAACTGTCCACCTGGGATACTTTACCAGGTAAGCTATCATTTAAGAGTGAAAGCTAAATAAATAAACTATTATAAAATAATAAATTTCCTAATAGATTTTTACCTGAAAACAAGTACTAAAAGATATAATAAGAACAAAATTGATCCAAGAAGGAAGGAGTGAAATGTGTTGAAGGAGTGATGCTCAAAGAAATTGGTAAAATGTAGAGATCTAAGTGATCATTGACAGTATAAAGCAGTAATAATAATAATGACTAATCAGATGGGTATGCAAACAAGATGACACTAACATACTGGATAATGATAATCCAAAGGATGAGACAGGTATGTGTGGTTGGGAACTGGAATTAAAGCATTCTATACATTGTTCACAAGAAGGTCAGGGATAGTGAGTAACTTTAAGCTTTTAAGAATACATGTATTAAGTGTAAAAACTCTGAATGTCAGAAATGCAGTGATAAGTTCCAAATAGGTAGAGAAAAAAAGCAGGAATAAAAAGTCAATGAAGACAAAAATAGAATCATAGAACAAGCTGGGATACATACAACCAAGATGATAGGAATGAATCCATATATTCCAGTAATAACAATTAATATACATACCTTGGGCTTATTAGAGATTTTCATATTTGATTTAAAAGACCCAACTTCTTTGTTATTTGTAAGAGACACATGTAAAACACATTCAAAGACACTGAGAAAGTTTGAAAGAAAAAGGGTGAAAAAGATAATCCAGGCAACTAGTAATTTAAAAAATGCTGAATCTCGTAAATGGAATGTAAGTTGAAAATACTGTTATAAAGAAGGTTACTACAATATGATAAAAGGAGTAATTCACTAGGAAAATGTGACAACTCTAAAATTCTGTGCAGCTATATCCTCAATATATAAAACAAAAATGAATAGGAGTAAAAGAAAAATTGACAAAATCACAATCATAGTGGAAGTTTTTTTAATACATCTTTCAGTACTTGATAGGTCAAACACATAAGAAATGAATAAGACTAAACTATATTTGAACAATATAATGAGCAAATTGAATCCAGTAGACATACAAAGAATCCTGAATCCATCAATTTGAGATTATATTTAAGAAAAAACATATGTGGAACATCTGTAAGCACAGTACAGATATAATAGGCCACAAATAAAGTCTTAACACATACTGGGGAATCCATTTCAAAGAGACTAAATCAATAACAAGTCAATAACAATTATAACTGCACATAGGTGTTCAAGTGTGGCCTAAAAAAGAGCTCCACATCTCAGGAACATTGCTCACTTATAAGACATATTAGGTTTTATATGACTGTTGAGGCAGGTGTAGAGATTTGGAGCCTCTTGGAACACATGGAGTACATGTGTACACAGCTATACCCCATCCCAGCTACCCTCCAGGAGTCTTTGAGATTCTTCTCTAAACTACCCCCTGTTCTCAGAGGTATAAATCCTTTACTCCTGCCAGATTCTGACTGTAATACAGTCATTTTATCTACAGGACTGTTGTGTGTAGATTGTGACATGGAAGATATGTATGAGTGGGTAAGGGTGCATATGCAATGTATAGATGTGGCCAGGGCAGTTGACTGCAGGGCTCTGAAAACTCATAGTTTTTCAGGTTTGCAGTCATATGTTGATATGTATGTGTTACTTTTCTAATTTGTACAAAGGTACTGTGTGGGTTAATGGTATCTGAGACTTGCTATATTTTGAAATTAAAATGATTACTTTTAAATAATTCATAGATTAAAGGAGAAAAAAAGAAAATTTAGAAAAATGTTTAGAACTAAACAATTATGAAAATACTATATTCCATAAATTGAGATATATAGCCACAGTGGTATTTGAAAGAAAATATATAGTCTTAAATACCAATATTGGAAAAGAAGAAAATCTAAATGAGCTAAACAAGTCAATTTAAATTCAAGTAAGAATAACAGTGTAACCATTAGACTTTAAAGGAAGGAAATAGTAAAGAGCAGAAATTAATAAGTTACAAAACAGATATAGAGGATCACTACGACCAAAAGTGGGCTCTTTGGTTAGACTAATAAGATAGACAGGAACTTGGCAAGACTTACCAGGAGAGGTGGAGAAAGGACCTGGTCAAGAACATCAGCGATGAAAAAGGGAACATAACTGTAGACATTAGAGATTTAAGAAGGAACAACTTGATGCCAGTAAATTTGAGATCTTGGGCAATAGGACAATTTTCTGGAAAAATTGTAATATTTAACAATCAGGAAAAAAGGGTAACTAGACTTAAGTGATTAAAAAAATGAAATCGGTGGTTAAAAACCTTCCCAGTTTTAATGACAAACCTCCAGTAACATTTAAGGAGCAGAGTGAACTCTTTGCAAACAAACATACAGAGAGTAGAAAAAAGGGACTTTTCCCAACATACGTTATGAGGTAATAGACTTAATAACAGCCAGATGGAGGCAATGGAAGAAAGGAAAATTAAAGGCCAATTATACTTCTAAGTTACAAAAATTTTGAATGGATAATGGCAAATTAATGCATTAAAAATAAAGCCTCATGACCTAGTGAGGATTTTCATGAAATACAAGGATATTAGAACATCTGCTTAAATATTAGAATATCTGTTTAAATATTAGAACATCTGCTTATGCCACCAAGTTACTAGATTAAAGGGGAAAAAGCTTTTATTCTCTCAGCAGATATAAAAGAAGCATTCTATATAATTCAACATCCATTTATGATAAATCTTGTCAAACTAGGAATAGAAGGGAACTTCCTTAACTTGATAAAGGGTGTCTACCAGAAACCTCTAGGAAATGTTATACTTAATGGTGAAGTGCTAACAGTAGTCCTATGAAAATCATAAAAAAGACAAGAATGTCCATTATCACTGCTTCTATTCATTGTGGCCCTGGAGGTCCTACTCAGTTCAGTAAGACAAGAAGGAAAAATCAAAGGTATACGGATTGGAAAGGAAAAATAAAACTCACTTTTCATAGATGATGTGGTTACAAATGAACAGAAAGGAACTACCTACGACACTGTTTTATAACTCTTTTATGAGAGTTTAGCAAGAATTCTAGATAAAAATGAATACCCAGAAATCAACAACCTTTAATATTCAGATATGAATGAATATAAAATGTATTTTTAAAATTTCATTTGTTGTAGCAGCAAAAAATAAATCTAACAAAAATGTCAAAGAACTTTATGGAGATAACCAGAAAATTTTTATTAAACATTAAGAAATGGAGACAGGTCTCATGTTCATGGATGAGGACCCAGCATAATAATGACAGCTAATTCTCACAAAATAATGTATGCATTTAGTGTAATTTCAATAAAAATCCTAGACTTTCCCTCTTGATAATGATGGGCTAGGAAATATGAACCTTTCTTCTCACTTAACTTAGTTAAAAAAATGTATTTTCTGAAAACTTTTTAAAGGCATCCAAATGCCAACTTGATATAGAAGAATCACCAGGCTAAGATCTGGGAGAGCATGGAAATACAGAGATGTGACCCTGGCACCAAAGGCCATTTTTGCCCTTGGGGTGTTTGCCTGTCTGAAAGATGTGACTCAAAGGCTGAACTGTAATTCTGGAAGGTCCAGGATGCTAGAGGAACGAAAGTCAGAATCCAGGATCTACAAAGAGCAGGGACTCTGTCTAACACTGTACCACCCACTGCACTTTTGGACAGGACCACAAAGTCAGGGTAACCCAGAAATAAGCTTGGTCTCACATAGATGCAGCTCAGTGCTAAGGCCTTTGGTGGCCCAAGACTCTGCAAGGTTTATTATCATGTAACCCTGGATCACTAGTGCTTCCAGGTACCTGGAAAAAACAGAGAACTCTCTTTGGAGGAAGATACCATTTCAGTCCTCAATTTATTTCTACAAAAATTTTTTAAATCAAGCAGCTAGTATGCAAAGATAACCAGACATGAGGGGGCAAAATACCATGAACAAGAATGAGTGGAAAGAAAAGACAGTGGAAGCAGATTCACAGGGTCTCTAGTTGCTTGATTGCAATCAAGAAAGGGCACATGGGGCCTTCTAAGGTGCTTAGGGCGTGCTGTTATTTGACCAGGGTGCTGATTACATAAGTGCTCAGTCTTTACTAATCCATTTATCTGTACACATATCTTTTACATACTTTTCTGTATGTGTTTTATAGGTGACAATAAGAAAGGCTTACAAAATCGAAAACAATCTAATGTGTCATTAATAGCAGGACAGGTCAATGAATTTTGGTATGTTCATACAACAAAATGTTATTAAGCTGTTTAATTGAAAGAACTAGGGCTACAGGTATCTATAAGGGACTAACTTCAAAAATATAATGAAGTAAAAAATTTTAACTTGAAAAAAGATATGTGCAGTATGATACCATTATGGAAAGTTAAAAAACATGCAGAAGTGGTGTTACACATTATAATGAAAGCATATGCACGTAGTAAAATATAAAAAACATGAAATAATACATTTCAGTGATAGATTCAAAATAGTGACTACTTCAAGGAAGGGAGAAAGGAGAACACTAGATAGGTAGTTTTTCACCTGTTTCTGTGGTGCTTGATATTATTTTTAAAATGTTAAATAAAGCAAAATGTTAAAATTCAACAATAGTCGGCGGTAGTGTAGAATATATTCCATGTCTCCATTTTTCTGTATACTTAAAGTAGTCCATTTAAAAAGTAAGTTCCTTAGCAGGGACTTGAGACCCTTTAAACAGTTGTGTAATGTTTCTCTTCCAGTTGTTTTCTACTGAGAAAACATTTTTAGATTTGTTTCATTTCTGCAGTCCTTGGGGCCTATCACTCCCTGTGAATAAGAGCCAAATCTCATGGTTTCAGTATTTGAAGAGATAGCCTATCTTTTTCTTATCCATTAAATTATGTGTTCTCAGTGCTTTAGTAAACTCATTACACACACAAAAGTGCCCTTTTAATTTTTCATTTTTAGTTTTAATTTTCTTAAGGGCAGTTTTTTAATGCATTTTTTAATTCTGCTTTTTATTTCTGATTATGTGAATCTCTTGGGAGCTCTTTTGACACACATCTATTCTAATTGAATTTTTAGAACTAGCTCACCTTCTATTTTGTTTTATTTAGGAGCGGGATAAGTTCTACTTGTCTCGCAGTGTTGTTCTAGAACTTCTTCAGGCCCTGAAGCTCAAATCTCCTTTACCAGATACAAACCTCCTTCTGCTTGTCCAGGTAGGCTTATGTGTTGTTTGTATAAGACCCACTTATGTTTGGGAAAATTGAAGAAGGTGTGGGGTATACGCATAAATCAAATATCTCTGCCCAGAAATGAGAAAATAACATAGCCTATATGAACCATAATCTAACTAATGCATTGTGATTGACACTTCCACTGGCTAAAAAAAAAGAAAAAAGGAGTATTTAATTTTGTTTCTACTGTGGATCTAGTTCTGGGAGGGACAAGAAGAAGAATGAAACAATAAATTTGTGTCCTTGAGAAATTTATAGTCTAAGTCAGTCCCAGGGGCAGCTCATTAACAGCTACCAGAATGGAGACGGGACTAATGAAGCCACCGCCGGGGGACCAGGCTGGGGTCTGATTGCAGAGTCACATGAGTGTGGATGGATCCCCGAATGTCTGTAAAGCAGAAGTGAAGGTGAGGGTGGGCCTGCTGGAAACAGGCAAATGTCAGGATGTGCTGAGTGCTGCCAGTAAGGCAGGTGGGTGTGAAAGAATCGGCACCCGTGGGAGCTCAGAGGCAGAGGGACTTGAATGCAGATGAGGCGGGTTCTGGGGAACCTGCAAAGATTATGCCTTTGGTTATAGGGCTGCTTAGGAGGGGCTGAAGCCCTTCATCCCTGGCATCCTTAGCTCAGCATCTTAGATAGGTGTCCAGGTTTTGATTGCATGAGACAGGCTGTGTCTAGTGCCATGAGAGAGAGAGAGCTGTAAACAAAATCTTCGGGGGAAGTTCAGAACAGGAGGCATCCCACCTTATATGGTGTGAAATCAGGGGGGACTTGAAGGAAGTAGCATTTGAGCTGGGCCACAAGGGACTAGTGGGTACAGGTAAAAGTCTTTGCGTGGTGATGGGGTTCAGACCCAGAGGCTGACTGGATTCAAGCAACTGGGGAGGCTCTGGCAGGAAGGTAGAGTACGTTTAGGGATAATGAGATGAGGATGAGTTGAGAGAAAGCAGGCTGGCCTGGGTCAGATACGGGATCCGGTAGCCTGGGACCCCACCTCACTCTCCAAGGGCTGGGGCTGGGTTTAAAACTCGGCTATGAGCTACAGCTGGGACCAGGGTATCAGTCAGGCTGTCTTTGTGCAGAGTACCCAGGAACTGGGTCACTGCTATTTCAGTTCCCCCTGGCGAGGACTAAGACCAGTCCTGGAAGCTGGACCTGCAACGTTGAAGTTAAATGACTGAAGGAACCTGAATCTTAGGTACATTGGGTACCATGTGGAGAGAGGAAGAAGGAAACATTAATCAAGCACCTGTTATGTGCCAGGTGCTTTACATATTCCCTCCAGTTAGTCCTTACAGCCGTGTGAGATATTGGTTCTGTATTGCAGATGAGGAAACTGAGGCTCAGGGAGGTTCGGTGACTTGCGGAAGATCCCACAGCTGGCAGAAGTGGTGTCAGCATCTGACCACAAGTCTGTTCAGTGGGGAGCATAGCCTAGTAATGCAGGCTGTTTTCATCACTTGCCCAGATCACCAGAACCACTCGTAGCTGTCTGCACTGCCTTCATCTCTCCACACCAATCCAGTCTTCTGGCCTATGGCTGCCGGGAGGAATTTTGCTGAAACTGCTTTTTATCAGATCACTCCTTGCGTCAATACCAACAGTGACCTTACAGTGCCTGAACTGTGGAGGTCTTCCATCATCTGGCCACATTTGACTATTCAGTAGTACTACTGAGTAGTACTATTGAGTAGTAGTTCCCACTATAAATGTTTACTGATCACCTCTCCTGGGGGAGGTTGTGGGGATGTAGAGACAAAGAAGGCTTAGGCCCTATCTTGATAATGTGCTGGCCACGCTACTGAAAGTTCACCTGGCATGTAAAGTGCAAAAGAACAGTGAGTAGCTAACACAGACCAGGAGGTGGAGGAAGGCCCATTAAACCGTATGAGCCCTGATCTGGCCCAGGTGCTGGGGAAACCGAGATGAATAAGCTGCAGCCCTTCCTTCCAGCAGTCGACTGTTTGGTAGGTGAAGTTGACATGTAAACAAAAGTTTCCAACATGGTGTAATGGGGACAGTAGCAGAGGTGTACTGAGTAAGGACATGGTGTGGAAAAGGGAATGGTGTGGACCCTGGCCGGTGCACAGAAGTTCAGGAGTCTGCCTGGGAGAGGAGGAGAGACAGTACTGTCCTTTTCCATTTAATATCCACTACCGGCCTCCCCGCCCTATATACCACTCATCTTTAGAACCAGAACCGAGTTTTTCGCAAAGCCTTGAGATGTAATACCAAGTTGGTATACTTTAATGAAGAATGGTTTTAAGTTGTTTTTAGAAAGCCTCTGGGGCACATTGACACTCTCTGGGAGCAGTGATTACTGGGAAGTGACAGCCATGGGTGCCAGGCACAATATAGTCAGAATGGAATAAACGGCTCCCATCGTACCACGCTGCTAGACAGCCCAAGAGGAAGACAGAAGCAAAGTCACGGCCAGGAAGTATCTGTGTCCCTAAGGAGAGGCCAGCCGAATGTTTCCCAGTGACTGGCCAGTGGCCCGCCCTCCCACTCACAAAGCAGCACCACTTTTGAGTACAGGTAGCTTGGACACAAGCTGACCATCAAGATTAGTGGGGTCAACACTGCTTTGGAGGAGAGGGCAGGTGCACTGAGCCTAGTGAAAAGGCCCACAAGGGATTTAAGGCTAGCACGTTGACAGTGTCTGGAAGCCACGGGCTTCTGATAGCATTTCGGCTGGGGACTTGCCACCTCCAAGCAGCCAAGTTTCCAGGCCCTGGAGGTGCTTTCCTGTGGGCAGCAGAGGACATTCCCTTAATTGCCCTCAGTCCTAAGCAGAGCAGATCTGCACGGCTGATCTTCTCGGGGTCTAGCACCCCTTGCTGTGACTCAAGCTGGGGGTTGGCTTTCTGTGAAGTACATTAGTCCAACATAATAAGCCCTTGTCACAAGACAGCAAAAGAACACCGACATTTTAAATTGCCCAGTGCTTAAGGAAACCATGAAAACGGTGATTATTGCATCACAGCTAGGTGAATAAATGACAAAAACAAATTAGGAAGGAAGAAGGCAAAAAAGTAGATTCTTCTGAATGTGTTTTGTGGATTCTCATATGCCATTTCAAATGAATACTATTTTCATTCTTCAAAACAAACGTGTATTTGTCATTGAATAATTAAGTTAAATTTAAAAATGAGGTTGGAGAGGTATTTGGGAGACATTTTGAGATCGTGTCCATGAGGAACAATTTTATGAATGTTTCAACCTTCTCCAGGTAAAAATGTTAAACATCATGCCATTTTGACATAAACATATCTTTGTTCGATAAACTCTTCAAATAAACCATTTTTATGAGAGAAATAAAAGGGAAGCCTACTTAAAAAAACAAGTGTGGTTCCCTTACCTGCCCTGTGGTTCCTGGCTCAGTGGTGGAGAGACTCATGGAATGAGGGAGAAGCATCTCTTGTCTCTCTTCATGAATAGTGCGTCTCTCTGTAGTGCTTCTCTGTAAGCTCAAATTAAAAAGAATTTCCTCCAATTATGTGTCAAGAGTAGACATTCTTGCTCTCTTGCCCCGGACTGCCTGGGTCCTCCCGGTTGCGTCACCACACCCCAGCAGACGCTAAGCCGAGGGTGGGTGAGACTGAAGACGAAACCCGGGAATAGCCATCCATACAGAGGTTTACTGGGGGAACTTGGTTGCAGCGAGTCCACAAGCAGTGCTGGGACTAAGCCTCCGCTGCTGGGATTTGCAGGAGTGCAGCAGCCAGCCCAGTTACTGTCTGGGGTCCCGCCCCTCCCGGCATCACTGGTGTGCCAGGGACATCAAGGCCTGCCATCCGGGTTGGCCAACTCCAGAATCTCTGACTCTGGCACTGAACAGCGTCATTTTTCTACGTGTCTTGCTAGATGGGGATACAGATGGAGGGACGGGATCTGTACACTTCTAAGACTTTGAATAACGGGCATTCAGGGTGTGCTTGTACAAACCATCCAGCGCCACCATACACAGGTGTCCTTTGGAGGACAGCAGAGATGATCGCCTGCTCTCTGGTAGCTTCTCTTAGGCCAGAGAATCTAGCCTGGAGTCCAAGAAAGCCTTCTTCCCCTTTCCGGATGGGCCATGTCAGTTCCTGGCACTTGGAGGACCAGGCGCACAGTATGGACAGATAGTGTGTCTGGGGCAGTCAGGGACTCCCTTCATAGGTACCAGTGACCATCATCTGAAGCAGTGGAGGTGGCTTTGTTTTGACTGAAAATGCAACTTGAAAACAAGAAAGCAAGAATGGGAAGGAAAAGCTCCCCCAGTTATCTGTCATGAATGTCACCGGCCCCATTAATGAGAAGAGAGTCAGATCCTCAGACCTTGGATTTATCCTTCATTCTTTCACCCCACAGGGAACCACTAGGGTATTTCCTCTATGACGTCTCTCATTGAAGACTTCGTAGATAGATGAATTCTCAGAGGTGGAGCTGGTGATAGCTTCGTTGTTCACCGTATACTCTCTCAGTGAGGGAGTCCCCTTAATGACCAATGGGACACTTGCCCAAGGGATGTGGGGTCATCCCAAGTTCTAAACATTTCAAGGCAGTGACAGGTACCAATCTGTTTTTTAATTCCTAGAAATTCTTCCTGGAGGTCCAGCATCATAGGAAATCTCCCAGCTTGCTATGTTGTGAGTGTCTAGCTATGATTCCCATCATTTGTTTTTACCTACATATAAAATCAGGTGGCCTTAAAAGCAGAGTGAATTTTTTTTTTTTTTAGAAAAGGAGACAGGAAAGAATTTGCCAAATAGAAAAATATATATGTATTCCTCAGAATCTAAATTGTCGACCACTAGGACATAGTTCTGCACTTTGGACAGATGCCCTGTCTTGTTCTAATTCAGATCTTTTGACATTTTTGCATTTGCTTACAATATTTTCTCTCTCGCTGGTCTGCTGTAGGTGTTTTATGTGTAATAGGTTATTATAAGTGTTCTTGAGATGGATTAAAGCATTTCCCATAATAGAGTGATAACTCATTAAAAGCCACCATAATAGCTAGATAAGCTCAAATTAAAAAGAATTTCCTCCCATTATGTGTCAAGAGTAGACATTCTGCTAATTTGCATAATACTCCCACTATGTGGCATATACCTGCATGTTCAAGTGTGAGAAATCATGTGGGTGAAAGGTTTTCTTTTAAAAATGGGTTAGTTGTGGGCTGGAGGACAAAGAAACAGCAGAAGATCAGGCTGCTGTTTTTAATTCACAGTTACTATTGATGTGGGATTATTAATATTAGTTGAGTCAGTAATAATCTGATCACTCTCTGGGATGAGAGGTGGAGATACTATTTTGGGTGACATTTGACAATGAATTTAGTAATGACACATAATGGATCCCACATTTCTTTTGTATTCTTTTGGATTCATGCAGGAGTGCCTGTTTTTCTATCTGAAAGTATAGAATTCTTCCTTCTACAGCAGCCGTCCTTTCTCTCTCTGATTTTAGTTATGGCGTTATCTTTTGAGCGATTCTTTGAATTTTAATGGAGTTTTTCAGTTCACTGTTGGTAGCTGTATAAAATGAAGACAGAAACCAGCTTGTTTATTAAGGTTTGGTTGTACATATATGTAAAATGACACTGGATTAAAATGCACCGATAAAAAACAAATAATTGTTTTAGAGGCTTAGGTATTTTTACACCATTTAATACAGCAGATTCTATGCAGCACCTCTGTAACCTTTAGGATGATATTTGATTAATTCTGACTTCTAAGTTCTCACCAATCAGACATATGAATTTGGCCTCATATCTTGACACTAGGAGGCTGACAACCTTCTTACATTATATTATTCATTCTACTTTACCAAGTGTGGTAGGTTAGAAGGGCTTCTGTTGAGGGGAGACAGAGACATTTGAAGTTGTCCTTCTTCACACACCTTACCTTGACCTCAAGGGCACAGCTGGGCCTTGCAAGTGGGCTGTAGGGACCCGGGAAGAACCTTGAGGCCACCTCAGGGCCCCTCCTCACACTTTGTGCAGTTCTCTCTTCCCCTCTGGCCTCTCATAGCTGTGCAGTTTCTCATTTCTACTATAAAGAAATTAGTTAAAATGGTGGTGTCTGGCAAGAGGTTTTGGAACTTGGTGTTAAGTTATTTGTCTTAGATTGCAGACTCAGATAGCTTTGGAAAGACAATTTTGGGGAAAACATACAATATCTGCTAGGAGGTTGAGAGTGTTCCTTCTCACCATGTACTTCTATCAAATACTTTACTTTTTGATTTATAGCTTTTGACAAGTGATACAGGCTTTACTTTTTTTTTTTTCCAACTTTGTTTACTTCTCCTTATATTGGAAATAAGTTCAAGTTAGGAGAGCAGAGATAAACATACCTGAATAAAATAATGTGAATTTTGGGTATTCCTGGGATATTATCAGCCGGTACTTCCTTGGTCTCATTTGGAATCAGTGGCCAACTTGATTCTTCAGCTTCCTGTAACTGTATTTGAGGCAAATGGAAATGGTAGCATGTGAGAGTGGAAGGGTGTGTCTACTCCTGCCATGTGGCTTTCAGAGACTTCCAGACTTTCTCTGCTTGCTGTCCTCTCACCACTAGCTCAGTTACCTGTACCAAAATACCTTTCATGGAGGTCCACGCTGGAAGACCTTGAGCAAGAAATCTCAGGGCTTCTTGCCTTTAGAATACCTTTGACTTAGAGCTCTGCCTTGTTAGCCAAAACCTGCTGCCTATGTATAACCCTTTGATTCTGAGCCCTGATTAGCCTGAAACCTGAAACATGGTGGTTTCAGATCCTCATCAGGCCTCCTTGAGATTTTCAACTCTAGCCTGTATCGCCTATCCCTGGTTTGGTAGGGACTGAGACTGCCTAGCTGAAGTCATTGTCTTTTTTACCTCCCTGACTCTGCTGTGCTCTTCCAATGTGGGAGTGAATGAACTGGAAGGAAAAGCTTTTCTCAGACTCTCTGAACTCTGCATAGCAGCCGCTTTGGGTCCCATAGTTGCTGGGGCCACTGGCCAGAGGCCAGGAAAGAGAAATTAGCGAGGAAGTAATTGCTCATAGCCAACTCTGCAGACTTCATTGTTTGTCTTTTTTTTCCTGAAACAATAAGTGGTTGGGTGTTGCATTAAGTGGGAAATAGCTATAAAAACCTCTAATGAAGCAAATTAAACTGTAATCTGGCAAATACATTTTCATTGTGGTCTCACATCATAATTGATCAACCAGTTCATTTCACAAACTCTTGCAGAGCCCCTCTGAGATGTCACATGAAGCTAATGTTGGGGGCAAGTGTCTAGAGTCTGTGCTCTTAAAGAGCTTATAGCAGGTTGACCTATAGTCTCATAGGTCATTGTAGTCTAATTTCATGACTGTTATGATGGAAGTGTGTGAAAGGTCCGGTGGGGACACAGAGCAGTAGTGGGGTCATTATCAGCACAGAGGGTAGGTAGGAATGAAGGGGGAGAAGGAAGACCAGATAGCCAGAGGCCTTGGAGGGGAAGACACAGGTGGAGTACTGCTCTGAGTTTGATTGTTTTTCTGTTTTCATTCTAAATGTATGATATACTGGCAGTCCAGAAAAATCTATGAAAATTCAGTGACCATTAAGAAGTGCTAAGGAATAAATAGAATAACCTCATAAAGTATCTGACAGTACTGACATGGCTCCTTTCTTTGATTGAGGCCCCATTTCAGTGCCTCCTAATTGTCTGGGTAAAGTAGGAATCTGTGTGTTAATCTCAGTCTATGATGCTGAATTTCTGATAGGAATGAACTATCATGATTAAGGCAGATTGTCACAAAAGTGAACACTAATGAATTTAAATCCAGTTTAAAAAATTATGAATTACTTGTTACTGTCCACATGCTCTTAAAAGTAATTATCCTTTCAATTTCTTACTAGTTTATTTGTGCCGATGCTGGAACCAAACTAGCAGAGTCAACAATCCTGAGCAAGCAGATGATCGCCTCTGTACCTGGAGTGAGTCCTGACTGAATTAGTTGTCTGCATTTTATGTTGCTTCTCATTTCCTCATTTAGCAAAGAGGTATTTTGGGCCTGTGTCCTGGTTCACTTTTGATAGGAGAAGCACTGTAAAACTGAAAACATACTAGCATCTTTTTAAAAAGAGCACTAGTGAATATTTAAATTAAAATCCCAGACCTTGGAAACTTTTCCAGAGTAAAACTGATGCAGCAGTTAAGGAGAGGAAAGAAATTACCAGATGTACAAAATAGATTTGATTAAAGCTCAATTTTTCCAGAAGCAGTTTTCTCATACTGTCTCCTGTTAACCAATTTGATTTAACTATTGCCAGAAAGAAATAAGCATTGTAATACTGTATTTTCCTTTATAATATTTCCTCTGAAATTTAAAACATTTCTATTATTATCAACTAGTGAACTGTTTGGTAAAATATGTTAAGCTTCTCATCAGTGGGGTTGAAGATAAGAAACCACAATAACTTACGGATAGCAAGTTTGCTGCAGCAACTCAGAACTTTCATAGGTTTGTTAATTGAAAAAAATTAATTTTTCAGTGCAGAAAAATCTTAATAAAGAAAAAGGATCACCTAAAATCCCTCTGCCTTAAAATAAGAACTCTGTTGTTTTAGAAAATTTCTCCATGTTTTGACTCTTTCAGTGTCCTACTTTGCTTATTCCCATATTGTTAGAAATTTATTTTCCAGTTTTTTGCTGATATATACATATATATATTCTTACACAGATCATCTTCAGGTTTATTTTAAACTATAGCCTTAGGATAAATTCATTAGGCAAAAAGCAGCAATATCTTAGTGGTATGTATTCCCATATTGTTTTCCAAAAGGGTTTTATTAATTTACATTTATAAGTATACCAATTTTGCCCACAACACTAAACATTATTATTTTTAAAATACTACTTTTTTTTATGAGAAGTTTTATGAGAGAGGAAAAATAACAGCATTCAACCCAGAGATCATTCTGCTGCTAACATATTAGTGTATTTTCTTTCTCTTTTCTATGTAGTTGAAACCATAATGTAGATGCGGCTTTGGCTTCATTTGTCATAAATATTTTCCCCAAAGCCTAGAGTATCACTTCAGGTGAGTGCACCACAGAATAGTGGTAAGGGTCAGGTTCACACCAGAGTTTGAGGTCTGCCACGTACCACTTGCCAGAGAATCATTTAACCTGTTTTTTCCCTTAATTTGTATTACCTGTAGAATGGGATATAATAGGGCCTGATGTCTGGGTTGGGGATTGAATGAGATAGTGCGTGTAAACATTAGCGTGGTGCCAGACATCTAGTAAGTGTTGAGTAAACATTAACTATTAAAAAGAATATTAGCATATATTACTTATTTTTTAATATTTTAGCTATTTTCAGTATTATGCAATTGTAACTAATATGTGATAAGCATCTTTGTGCTCAATCTTTGTATTTTAGACTATTTCTTTATAATTTCTGGGATTAGAATTAGTAGACTTTTTTTTTTAAGAGTTCTTAATGGAAGTGAGGGAATATAAGATACTGTGAGATAAAATCCCAATTCTCAGCAACTTAACATGCAGAAAGTTTATTATTTGCTTGTGGGAAGTTTAAACGGGCATCGTGGTTAGTAGAGGGAGGTGGACTGCCATGTGAACGCTTAGGGATCAGACTCCTTAGTCACGTGCTGTCTTCTGCAATCAGCTGGTGGTTGGAGAAAGAGAAGAGAATATGGTACATGGAGGGTTTTCATGGGCTAGGTCTAAAAGTGATGCATTTTTCTTTTACTCACATTCCATTGGCTAGAATTCAGTCACCTGGCCACACCTAGCTACAAGGGAGAATGGGAAATGTGGTTTACTCACATGTTAGGGAAGAAGAGAATAGCCAGTCACTGTTGCACATTCACTGGTTTCCTTATTTAATTCTTTAAAGCTCATTATTTGTTACCTACGTGGTAGCTAAAAAATAATATCCCTAATATATGAAAGATTTACTGAAATCAACAAAAGCCAAGCCTTCCAATAACAGCAAAAAAAGTAAAAAACGATTATTGGATCCACATATAGGACCCATTCCAATGACCAATAAGCCATTCAAAATACACCTTTTACCCTCACTTGCAATCAGTGAACTGTAAATTAATATAAAATATTAAAATATTTAATAATATAAATATTAAAATCGGGTAGCAAATCAGCAGACTTTTCTTAGTGATTAAACTTATTGATCATCAAGTGAAACAAGCAATCTAAGCTGTTGGTGGCAGTAAAAAATGATGCAGTTATGCTGGAGAGCAGTTTGACAACTGTAGGAATTTGTTTAAGAAAATAATTAAATAGGCATATTGCATTGCCTCAAAAGAGCAGGTTCATGCCATTAAGGAATTATATACAAGTATATTTATCAAAGCAGCACTTAACATAGCAAAAATATGGAAACAAAGTAATCTCCACCATGAGGTATTGTTGGTAGACTATTATGTGGCTACCAAATCAAGTTTTCAAAGAATAATTAATTGGAAAATGCTTAGGATGGATTTAATTTAAAAGCAGGTTAGAAAAAAATGGACTCAGCCTTATAAAAATTATATGTATACATGTATGTTGTTTGCATTCAAAAAAACTTTGAAGGAAAAAGTAACAGTGGCTGTCTCATGGATGGAAGATAGAATTAGGATTATGATGATTTTTCTTTTTCTTATCATGAACTTGTATTTTGCAAGTTTCCCACATTGAACATGTGTTACTTTTATGATCTAAAAAACATAACTTTAAAATCAGCTGTGTGTTTTGAGGAAGAGTTGGATATGATTCGCTTCAATTCCTGTCTTTTGGTTTAGAGTAGATTTTCAACACCTTTGTCATCAGTTTTTCCATTGAAATAGATATAGGATGTCTGAAACAAGTGGAGCTTGAGTCTTTATGTTTTTTTTTTTTAAATAATACTTAAAGTGATACTTATGTTCTGCAAAGTAAAAAAGAAGAAGGGGCTGGAAATTATATGCTTTGCTTTTAAGTGTAGATGGCTCAGAAAGATTACACGGACTCTAAAGAATATTTTAAGGTTTTTATTAGATGCAGTTGCTGTCTCTAGAGCAAAAGTAACCAGATAATAGTATATTCTTTGCTCTCATTTTCTTTGAAATTCAAACTTAAAAGACAAATATTGAATAATGCTCCTAGTAATTATTTTCTGTGACATTTGCCTAGTAGAAATGGTATAAAATATTGCCTGTGAAAGAAGCAAATCCCTTTCAAGCAATTCAAAAAAGCGTATATGCTCCTATTTGCATGACATATGAAAGGTCAGAAAAAATGGAATAAATTCAGGGGAAGCCTTTCTTGCACTAAAGGATTCATATTCCAAAAACAGGAGCACAATAACCTTTTATAATTCCTTCACTTGATTTAAATTATAAGAAGAAAACCTTAGAATGTATGAAATGCTTGGAAAACAGTCTGACAGAACTGCCAGTGACCTTATTTTACTGTTTGTTATCCTGTCAGAGGAACTGACAGGCGTAACATTCTAGAAGAGACAGAAAGTGATATAGTTCAGTGCTGTGCAGATTTACATGAATATGGGAAAATAAGAGCCACTGAGTGAACTAGTTAAGAATATAATGTTCCAGATTTTCCTTAAGAAAGGCCTTGGCATAGTATTCGGATGGCTTCAAAGAAGGCCTGCTTTTGATCCACATTGCGCCCACCCTGATGTGTGGATTCTCCCATACAGCTCTGACACCGCAGCCCGTTCGCTCATTTTCCTTTTCTTTGCTTATAAAGTGAAATTCATTACACTGCCTCAAGAGAGCAGGTTTATGCTGTTTAATCACCTGTAACACAAGTGTGTTTTCTTTTCCTTTAAAACTTCCCAACTATGCTGCTAGTATGTGGGGAAGATGATCATTACATTTCTTTCTCTCCTTACCCCTAGCAAGGATGCAATAATCATACACTTACCAGTTTAATCACGTGGTTACTGTGTGTAAGGAAGTTAACTTGTAAGTGACTTGACTTGACTATAAGAATTTTGATGTTTTCAGCAAACACAATGTTTGCTCACATACTCTTTTCTATAGAAAAAGATTCAAGATTCTGGTGTTAGAATTTGGTGGCACATATTTTACACGTACAAAAGACTCTCTAGAGTGATAAAGTGTTCCTCAGGTTTTAAGGTGATTTGTGTCATAAAGACTCTGACAGTAATGGCTTTCCATCAGGTAAATCTTTGTATCCAAACCAGTTTAAAAAGCAGCAAACAAAACTCAGTCAAATCACCCAGTGGAAAAAAGCATGTAAAGCCTGCCTCCCGTAAGCTGTCCCCATTTCTTTGCTCCCCACCACAAACCTTCTATACATTTTTGTCCGAACAGTGGGCAGACAGTCACAGAGTTGGCTGATGGTAATGGCGTGAATCAGAAATCCAGAAAATGAAACAACTTATTAGTAAACAGTGTGAAGTCAGAGCAAGACCCTCACTGCCGCTGGGGCAGAACTGACAGTGAGCGTCATTCTGACAAGACCACGGGGCTCGGGGGGCGCAGCCAGCGGTGTGCTTGTGTTTCAGTGCGGGACGGCGGCGATGGAGTGCGCACGGCAGTATGTCGGCGAAGTGCTAGATTTCATGGCAGACATGCACACTCTCACCAAACTGAAGGTAAGAGGCTTGGGGCCGCTCCTCTTTTAGGTTCAAAACACAGAGACATATCGAGAGAATTGAGCAGACCGTTGGGATTTACTGTTACCTGGGGAGGCAGCGGCCGTGCCCTGTCTGAGGCTTTCTGATGGTACCTAAGCCTGGTCATTTCCGGGTCCGCTGCCTGCGCACGAGAACTTGCCCTGGGTCCTGATTGCTGAATCGGGTCGCTCACATTTAAACAACTTTGATGTATAAGGAAGAGAAAACACTGTCACCCAAACGTTTTAGCTTGTTTGATAGCCACTTTGAAAATACAGTGAAAAGTAATAAGAAGGCTCCGTGGTGATCAAAAGGTTGGGGACTACAGATCTAATCAAGTCCTTTGATTTGGCATGTAAGGGAAACAGATCAGAAAAGTCAAGTGGCAAGTGGCTTGTCTGAGGCCATGTGACTAAGTAGGACAGAACCGGATTTAGAACGTAGGTCTCAACTTCCAGCTCAGTGCCCTTTCCACTAGCCACACTGAGAAAAGAAATTTTTAAATTATTCAACAAACAGGTATTGAGCAGCTATGATGTGCCTAGCACTATTCTAGGCAGTTAGGGATGTGACAATGAGCAAAAAGACACTCTAGCTGCCCTCGTTCAGTGTATAGTCTGGTAGTGAAGGTCAATTTTAAAGAAAATTTCATACACACTAAAGTAAAATGATGTCTCTCACAATTGCTGGGAAATGGGTGGACAGAGGCATGAGAGCTGCTTCTAGTGTGATATGACCTAGCCAGAGAGGTCACGGAAGGCTTCCTGGAAAAATGACATTTGAGCTAAAATGTGAACAATGAATAACGGTTAGTTAGGTGAAGAGAGACAGGAACAGTACTTTGGGCAGAGAGGACAGCATAAGCAAATGCCAGAAATGGGAGGAAACCGGTGTAGTTGGTCTGGAGGGGTAAGATGCAGAGTTCTGCAGTGGCTACATCATTCCAGGCTTTTTAGGCCACGCCAAAGAATTTGTTTCCTCTCCATCCTAAGAACAATGGGAAACCATTGAGGAAGTTTAAATAGGTTGAATGCTTAAGAGTGGTGATAGAAGGTGTAAAAATGACAACCTGGTCTTCTAAAATAGGTACCTGGGATGTCTCCAGATTCTCTGCCAAAATAAAAAAAAAAATGCCATTTTGCTTTGTAGAGCCACATGAAGACATGTTCCCAGCCTCTGCATGAAGATACCTTTGGTGGACATCTCAAAGTCGGGCTGGCTCAGATTGCAGCCATGGAAATCTCACGGGGCAACCACAGAGATAACAAGGCTGTGATTCGCTATCTGCCTTGGCTCTATCATCCCCCTTCTGCAATGCAACAAGGGTAAGACCCTTATTATTTCAGCAATGAGAGTTAATAAGGCAGGAAATGGCCCTGCCTTCCCTGGGGCTCAGTGAGTGCTTTGAATGAATGCACTGAAGATTGATGGGAGTGGAACATGATTGGCTGAGAATATGGAATCAAACACTTGTGGACCTGGCAGCAGTTGTGAACACGAGCACTTTATGACATGCTGCCAGTAACATAAATTTGCCCTTATACAAAAATCTCAATCATCTTGATGGATGAGGAAAACTTGGAGCTTAGAACGGCAATCTAACTCTTAATTTCAACTGGTTAAAAAAATCAATAGGTATTTACTAAGCACTTACATAACTTCTTCCTTCAAGGAGCTAATTAGATTGCAGCTGGAACAAAACCCCTGCCATAGCAGAGATGAAGCAGAGCTCAAGGAGGTGCAAGTCCCGGATCCTGCCTGTAGGTGGGGCTGAGAAGGGAGAGGTGTTCATGGTCTGGTTTATTCGGGAGCGGTTTGCTTCCTGGCTACAGAAAGGAGTTGGGGTAGAGGGTGAGAAGGGCAGGAGGACAGAACAACAGAAGAGCAGGAAAATGTGTGGCTGTGTGTTCCATCTCCTCCTCTGGTCCTTCCCCTCTAGTGGGAATGTCAAGCTTTCTAGTGAGAAGAAAAGAAGTGTTTAGAAAGAGAACCTAGTCAGGAAGTCAGCTGGGTTTGTGGAAGAATGACATTTAATCTTGTGTCACCAAAGGCTACTCTTTGCTCAAGAAGCTAAGATCTGGGATCAGAATGGGAGACAAGAAAAGCAGACATACCATTCTTTGGCACTCTGTGACCTCAATGTTTTATTGTACTGTTGCCTACAAGACTACGCTTTTAATCCCCTCCATCAATAAGCATTTGGTGAGCACCCAATGAAACAAAACAAAATCATCTTTGACTCTTCCTTCCTCTCCTATACAGGCCGAAAGAGTTCATTGAGTGTGTCTCCCACATCCGACTGCTGTCCTGGCTGCTTCTGGGCTCCCTCACTCATAACGCAGTGTGTCCAAATGCCTCCTCTCCATGCCTGCCCATACCTCTGGATGCAGGTTCTCATATTGCAGACCATCTTATTGTTATTCTGATTGGATTTCCAGAGCAATCAAAGGTAAGTGATTTCTGCAAGATTAAGACCATATGCATTGAAATTGCTAATGGAAACCCTTATCAGCCAATTATGTTTCTTCTGAGAAGAAAATGCATCTTATCACTTGCCCTCCTGTGGATGTCAGGAAAGCAACTTTTTGCTAATGCCTTACTTAAAGCTGTTTAAATTCCCACACTATCTTTTCTTCCCCTAAATTGTTTTTTGGTTTATTTTAATGAAGATAAATTATGGAGGCAAGCAAGAGTTAGCTTCCTAGGCATTTCTGTCTCAAAATAATGAAAAGAAATAAAAGGCTAGAAATAAAATAATAATTCTGTGATAGGTTTTTAGAACCAAATATGAAGATGAGGAAAATGTATGTGCTGTCAAATTCTTCATGCACTATCTTTTCTACTCAGTTTCTCTAGAGCTATATGAAGATACAGAATTAAAATAAGAAAGGCATTTGGGAACTCAGTAAGGTTCGTGTTGGAATCACCTACACAGAAAAACTTTGTAAATTGTAGAGACAGATGATGTGCTTGAGGGAATAAGTAAACCCCAGGCAGGCATCGATCATGGGCCAGTACAAGCAAGCCAGACACATTGGTACTTCTTGGCTAAGAGAAGCCAAGGGCCCGTCAGAGAGTTTAGGCAAGTTCTGGGAAGTGGCAGTGGGTTTGGGAATAGCTTGGATTTAGGCCAGGGCAAGCTGACTTGGCAATGAAGTAGAGCACCCATCCAAATGACCTGAGTGGTATTTGCAAAAGGAATTAGGCAGTCAGTTCCTAATATTTCAACCCAGATCTGTGTTTGAGCTAACAATGCTACTTTGTAATTTTGTGACCTTGAAAAAGTTACTTACCTTCTCTGAACTCCGGTTTTCATCTGTAAAATAGATGAGGGGGTGGTCTGAGAATTACAGAGGTGACCTTTGAAAGCCTTTAGCTCCTTTCGGGGGCATTGCAGGTGCTCACTCAACTAACAACTAATAGAAATACCGTCTTTGCTGCTTCTGTCGCTACTAGTGCTACTACTAGTATAATTATTAAGTGCCGGACAGTGTGTTCGTCTGATCTTCTCATTTTACTCCTACCTACAAGTCTTTCAGGAGGGTATTATTATCCCCGTGTTAATAGTTGAGGAGACACCTTTCAACAATAGAATGATTTTTCCTCCTAATCTAGGTTAGGGATGAGAATGTCAGCTCCATCAACAGGCAAGGGGTGGGTAGATTTATTCTGCAAACTTAAGGTACCTTCTCTTGGAAAAGACGTTTTGTTCTCTAAGCAGACTCCCACTGAATGAGCAAAAGCAGATTGTTTTAAGGTGACAAATCATGGCTTTGTAACTCAGAGAACTCCTTCAGCCTTGGACCCCATGAATTAGATGTGCTTGGGCTGCACTTCCTGGAAGGCTGTACACATGCAGGGAGCAGTTCTGTGGAGCACACAGCCCCCTGGAATGTAACGGCCCCCATTTGCTTCCTTTTCAGACCTCCGTGCTGCACATGTGTTCCCTCTTCCACGCATTCATCTTTGCTCAGCTCTGGACTGTATACTGCGAACAGAGTGCCGTAGCTACAAATGTCCAAAGTCAGAATGAATTCAGCTTCACAGCGATCCTGACAGCGCTTGAGTTTTGGAGTAGGGTGACACCCAGCATCCTTCAGCTGATGGCCCATAACAAGGTGGTGAGTTCACGAATAGGTTTCCCCCCTCTTGGAGAGAATCTCAAGATGTGTACCATCCCCAGTCTTCACATTACCTCTTTATTAAAGAGCTCAGTTGTAATATATACACGGATTGGTGAATTTTTATGTTATAAACTGGATGTTCTACTAGCGTAAAAATTTTGATGAGAAAGCAAACAAGTCAAGTAAATTCAGTAAAAAAACAGGTTCTGTTTTCTCTGCCAAGTGCCAAAGGAAATCTGTTTGAAACTTCTACTTTTGAGGGTTGTTTTGTGCTATAAAGTCAGAGAGTTAAGAGGGAGATTTGTATTATTTTTGGAATCCAAGGTAATCTGGAAAAACTCTAGCGAGTTGGGTCACCTTGTTTGTGTTCTTTAAGAGCAGCCTGACCACACACGTTCATTCCACTCAGAGCTCAAAACCTGAAAAGAGCTTCCCCTTTTTGAGTTGCCCGGTGAGGATGTAAGCTCCTCAGCCGTCGAATCCAGGTCCATTTTAACGTGGATGGCTCACCAAGAGAGGGATTGCTCTAAACCTCATCGGGAAATCCCTGGTGTGTGATCAGCGTGAGGCCATTTCATTGAACAAGCTTGGATTCGTCCTCTGGGGTCGGGGTGGGAGGGTGTACGGGAGGAATTTGCAAGGGAGTCCTTGAGTTCAGTGCGCTCCTTTGGGGCCTGTTCTCAACGGGGAAAGCGACAGCCAGTGTCTTGTTTCTGGGGGTTTCCTTAGTTGAATTCTTGTCTCTGAGGGGCAGGGGACTTGGAAGAACATCGTCGTGGTGATTCCAGTGTGTCCAGAAACCCGACAGTGCACTGACTCCAACAGGCTTTCTGGAAGTGATTTTTGATTGGTTGAATACTGGTCTTAAGGATCATTTTCATTTAACTCTAATTGGAAATGTTTTGCCTTTAGTGAGGCACTTTCTTTTCTTTACAGAAGCAAATGTAAGGCCATTGTGTATGGAGAGAAGTGTTTTAGTTCAATTTAAAGGAAAGTTATGTGAGAATTTTAGAGCACACAAACAGTTCTGACTGCTGTGGCAATAATGACATTTATTGGGACAGAGATTCTGGGACCGAAGAACTTGGAAATCAAGCATTCTGTTCTGTTATTTTACAGATGATAAAACTGAGACCTTAAATGAGAGTTTCAAAGTTTCCTTCTACTGTCATTTGTTTTTTGATACCATTAATACCTCTCTTCCAAATCTCTTGATGAATGAATTTGTGATGAATCAATTTTGCACAAATAATGTTACAAGTGAATTTGAATTAATTTTATTCAGAAAATTTTGTTAAACCTTATAAAGCAGCCTGGCAAAATTCCCCTGGAGTATTTAAAATCTAGCATTAGAAATTTCTGATGAGAGGGCTATTATCTGTACTGTATTTTTGAACTGTCGTAGAGGTGGCTACCTTGTTTCATAGAGAACAAAGCCTCAAAGACAGATGTGCAATAAATGAAACAGCACTCTAGGGGAAGAAACTGTGGAGAAAGGATCAAGATGGAGAAAAGGGCTTAAACCCAAGAGTTCTGTAGTTGGATATCAAGGAAGCAGAAGCCACTTATCTGTCCTCTGGTGTGGATCATGGTGTGCCACAGATTAGCGAGAGCAATACCTGAATTCCATTGGCAGCCCTGAGTTAGATGAGGAAACTTACATGAAATTTCTTTTACATGAAATTTATTTGAGGAAGGCATGACAGTCACAAAAACCTCTGGAACTTTTAAATTTCATTTCCTGGTTTAGAAGTTTAGTGGTAAACAAACACCACTCCTGGCGGGTCCCCTTTGGTCATTGAGCAGAAAGGCCTCCTGGGCACAGGATGTGGGTCTTTTGTGGCTGCAGACTTGTTTGCTAGGTTTGCATTATCATGGAGAGTGGAAATTAATTTTCATGTTTGTTGTTTCAGATGGTAGAAATGGTGTGTCTCCATGTGATTAGTTTAATGGAGGCATTGCAAGAATGCAATTCAACAATTTTTGTCAAGGTAGGAAAAACTTATGATTTTATAGACCATTTCTTGCTGCTAAAAACAAATGTCATTTTATTTTGAATATGCCATATGAGAAAGGAAAATAAAACCGACTTAATTTTAATGTTCAGAGTTGGGGCTGGAGGATTCAGGCTCATGTAACAGCCCTTCACCAAATGGTTATTGTGTCATTTTCGCTCTTGCTCCACCACTGTGACCAGCTCTAGTTGCGTTAAATATGCTGGGCCATGACTGCATGAAACAAGTAATAAAAATATTACTGGGGAACATCAATCTGAAAATGACCCTTTAGAATATAAATTGGATGGTGTGCCTCACCTTACAGGATATCCAGAAAACCAAGGAAAATAATCTGTAATTGTCTGATTTGGTAGCAAATACTTTTCTCTAAGATAAGTGAATTTAGTTCCTAGTATTACTGTGTATTCTAAACCATTGTACAGTGTCTGAAAGTAATTGAATGCATTTGTTCTCTATCCAGGGACATCAGAAAACTTCTCATGTGATTTTAAAAAAACAGAGTGAAGGAGAACTTGGTTTCTCACTCACTGCATCTTATTTTCCCTCTTCTTCCTTCCTTCCCTTCCTGTCCTTCCACCTGCTTGTCTCACTGATTCTTCTTTCATCCTCTTCTTATACCATTTCCTTCTTTACCTCTCACTTCTCTGTCCCATCATCTCAGCCACCGTCACCAGCACAGAGCACATCAATTTGGAGCTTTAAAACTTGCTCTTTCATTCTTTGGTTGCCTCTCTTCTTCAATAAAGGATACTTGTCAAGTTAACTCACACAATGGTGGAGAAAAGCAACCTGTTTTCAGGGAGAGCTTCCCTGTTACCAGAGAACTGCCAGGTACTTGGTTGGAGTGGGATAGATAAAGCTCGTTTAGCTTGATAGTCAGCAGCAAAAGTCAGCACCATGAGAGAAACGATATGACTGACACTTGGGTGATTGCACCTGGTTTTATTTTTTATGGCTTTTTTTGAAGTGTAATTTATATACAGGAAACTATACACATTTAAAATGCAGAATTTGTTAAGTCTTCACATATGTTACACCTGTGAAACCATCTCCACAGTCAAGATAATGAATATATCCCTCACCCGCCTAAAATTTTCTCATACCCATTAGGTTAGTTTGCATTTTCCAGAGTTTTATGTAAATGGTTCCTATAGTACTTAATGCTTTTTTTTTTTTGCCTTCTTTCACTCAGAATAATTATTGGGATTAATGCATGTCATTGCATGTATCAGTAGATCATTTCTTTTATTCCTTACTAGTATTCCATTGTATGACTATACCACATCTTGTTTAGTCATTAGATGTGAATGGACATCTGAGCTGTTTCCAGTTTCCAGCTATTACAAATAAGATTTCTATGAACATTCACATTAAAGTCTTTGTGTATGCTCGATAAATACCTAGAAGTGGAATGGCTAGGCCATATGATATGTTTATAACTTTTTAAGAAATTGGCAGACTGTTTTCCCAAGTGATTATGACTCGTTACATCCACACCAGCAGCATATGAGCCTAATAGTTCCTACAATCTTTGTCAATACTTAGTGTAGTCAATCTTCAATTTTAGTCACTCTAAGAACAGAGTACTGGTATTTCATTGTGGTCTTAAATTGCATTTCCCTGTTGACAAATGATGTTAAACATCTTTTCATGTGCTTATTTGCTATCCATATATCTGCTTAGTGAAGTGTCTGTTAAAATTATTTGCCCATTTTTATCAGGCTGGGTTTTTTTTCTTAGTATTGAATTTGAGATATAATTCCTTTACCAGATATGTGATTTGTAAAGATTTTCTTTGTGGTTTATCGTTTCATTGTCTTAACAGCATCTTGTGAAGCACAGGTTTTAATTTTGATGAAGTACCTTTTATCATTTTTCTTTAATGGATCATGCTTTTGATGCTGTATTTTAAAGAAATCGTTGCCTAACCCAAGGTCACAGAGAATTTTCTTTCTATTTTCTTGTAGGTGTTCTCTGTTTTCTTCTAGGTGTTAGTTTATACCTACAATCCATTTTGAGTTCTTTTGCATTTGTGTAAGGTATAGATTGAGATTTTTTTATGTGTTTATTCTGGGATATCCATTTATTCTGGTATCATTTGTTAAAAATACTATCCTTTCGCCAAGTGCCAAATGATTTCACTCATTTGTGGAGTATAACAACAAAGTAAAACTGAAGTAGACAAAACAGCAGCAGACTCCAAGAAGGGACTAGCAGTTACCAAAGGGTAAAGGTTGGGGAGGGTGGGTGGAGAGAGAGGGAGAAGGGGATTAAAGGGCATTACAATTAACACACACAATATAGGTAGGTCATGGGGAAGGCAGTGTAGCATGGAGAAGACAAGTAATGACTCTATAGCATCTTACTACACTGATGGACAGTTATTCCAGTGGGGTGGAAGGGACTTAATAATATGGGTGAATGTTGAAACCAGTGTTGCTCATGTGACACCTTCATAAGATTGTATATCAATGATACCTTAAAAAAAATACTGTCTTTTCTCCATTGAATTGCCTTTGCACTTTTGTAAAAAATCAATTAACCATATCTATATGGTTCTATTTCTAGATACTCAGTTCTGTTCCATTGATCTATTTGTCTTTATATGACACTGTCTAGATTAGTTTAGATTTATAAGATACCTTGAAATCAGGTGATATTAGTCCTCTAAATTTCTACATATTTTCAAAGTTGTTTTGACTATCATTTTCGGTCTTTCGCACTTCCAGATAAATTTTAAAATCAGCTTGTCAGTTACTACAAAAAGCTTGCTGGGAATTTGGGATAGCATTGAATCTATAGGTCCATTTGAGGAGAATTGAGATCCTAACCATATTGAATCCTCAAATCCATGAACAAAATATATCGCTCTCTTTATTTGTCCTTGTTAACTTTCCTCAATGTTTTATAGTTTTCCATATACAGACCTAAATTTTTGTCAGATTTATCCCTAAGTTTATCATGATTTTATGATATTATAAGTGTTTTTTTATACTTAAATCTGATTGTTCATAGCTAGTATTTACAATATTGTTGATTTCATATTGATCTTATATCCTACAACCTGTTAAACTCATTTATTAGTTCTAGTATCTTTTTGTGGATTTCATCAGATTTTCTATGTGGACAGTTACGTTGTGTGCAAATAAACCGGAGTTTTATTTCTTCCTTTCTAATCTTTATACCTTTTATTTCTTTTTCTTGTCTCATTTCTCTGGCTAGGTCCTCTAGTACAAGTTGAACAGAAGTTGTGAGAATGAGAAACCTTGCCTTGTCCCTGATCTTAGGAAGAAAGCATTCAGTTTTCCCTTATTAAATGTAAATATTAGCTGTGAGTTTTTTTAATAGATGCCCTTTGTCAGATTAAGTAAGGTTCTCTTATATTTCTAATCTGTTAAGAATTTTTTTTGAGGAATACATGTAGGATTTGTCAAATGCTTTTTCTGCATTTACTGAGATGGTCATTTGATTTTCCTTTTTTGGTTGTTAATAAGGTGAATTTTATGGATTGATTTTTGAATGTTAAACCAACCTTATATTCTGGGACAAACCACACTTAGTCTTGATGTATTATCCTTTTTATATCTTAATGAATTCTATTTGCTAACATTTTAAAATAATTTTTTTTGCATCAGTGTTCATAAAGGATACTGGTCTGTGATTTTCTCTTCTTGTAATAACTGTTTTTGGTTTTGGTGTCAGGATAATGGTGGCCTCACAGCATGAGTTGGGGAGTATTCCTTCCTTTTCTGTTTTTTGATGAAGTTTGTGTAGATTTGGTATTATTTTTTCCTGAAGTATTTGGTAGAATTCACCAGTGAGCTGCCTGAACTTAGAATTTTCTTGGCAGGAGGTTTTTAAATTATATATTCAATTTCTTCAATAGTTATAGGACTGTTTAAGTTACCTGTTTTTTCTTGAGTGATTTCTGGTTTAATGTATCTCTTTCAAATAATTTATCCATTTCATCAAAATAGTCATGACTGGCATGAAGTTGTTCATAATATTTCCATTTTTTAAAATATATCTGTAACATCAGTAGTTATGCTACCTCCTTAATGCCAGCTATTGGTGAGTTGTGATTTCTGATGTTTTTGTTTTCTGATTAGTCTGGATAGAGGTTTATCAATTTTAGTGAGCTTTTGATTGAAAGGAAAAACAATAATAACCATCTTTCGGTTTTGTTTTCATTGATTTTCTCGTTTCCCTGTTTAGTTGATTTCAGTTTGATTTTTTCTTCTGATTACTTTAGATTTAATTTACTCTTTTTCTAGTTTCTTAAGATGGAGGTGGAGCTCATGTCTAATATGACTGATTAGTGCTATAAATTTCCCTCCAAGTACAGGTTTAATTGCATCCACAATTTGGTAAATTGTATTCTCATTTTCATTTAGTTCAAAATGCTTTCTTACTTACCTTTTGCTTTCTTTTGGACTCATTGGTTATTTAGAAGCTGTTATTTGGTTTCCAAATATTTGGGAATTTTCTGGAGATTTTTCTGCTATGGATTTTCATTTCTGCTGTGGTCAGAAGATGTACTTGTGTAATTTGAATCATTTTAATTTATTGAGACTTGTTTTATGGCCCAGAGTATTGCCTGTCTTGGTAAATGCTTTGTGTTCACTAGAAAAGAATGTGTTTTCTGCTGTTTTGGGGTAGAGTTTCCTATGTCAGTTGGTTCAAGCTTATTGACAGTGTTGACCAGATCTTCCATGTCCTTTCTTCTTTCTATCTGCTTATTCTATCAATTATCGAAAAAGGGGCATTGAATTATCTATACTTATGGTTTTGTTTATTTATCTTTTCAGGTTTAACAGGTTTTGCTTAATGTAATGAAGCTCTGTTATTAGGTGCGTACATGTTTAGAATTATTATGTCTTCTTAATGAATTGAAATTATGAAATGGTGCTATTCATCCTCAGTAATATTCTTTCCTTTGAAAACTCATTTGATATTAGTAAAGGCATTCCAGT